CTTCTCAGGGTGATGAGGACGATTGATGATAGAATTGTCCATGAATTAAACACAACGATTCCAACAGCTTCCTTTGTGGCGAAGGTTGATGCCGGCCAGACGTGTAAAGAGCTGTACCAGTCTGTGAGTGTCCACACTTTTGACTTTCAACTCGCTTACTGCTGTTCTGTTGTGGGCAGCAGCCAGTGAAGCATCCTCAGTGTCTAAGGAAAACACTACCTTGATATGTTGCACTTCATGTGCTCGTGACTGGCCCACTTGGCTCCTCTACACACCTAAACCATATGCATGTAACAGCTGCTTCAGTTTAGAACCACATGGGGAACTTCTGTGTTCTGCAGGACTGATCCTTTGAGGAGCACTTCAGACTTCTAACTGGGTGATGTTAGACCCCACTCCATTTCTTTCTTTTTACAAAGGGGGCTAGTGCACTTTTCCTGCTGCTCTGCAAGACTCCTGATTATGTATGTCTTTGACTTTTGACCAGGTTGGTAGCTGCTGCTCAAAGCAGTGTTGCTTGCAACATGTGGATTATGGAATCAAAAGGATTTCTGTAGGCACAGCGATACCATGATTTTAGAAAGTCTCTTTTACCTTGTAACTTAGAGGGTTTTATTCTCTGCTTGATTGTGACTTGCTTTCTCATTCCACTTAGTTGACGGATGCTCACACCAATAGAGAAAGAATCATCAAAAACTGCATTGCACAGACTTCCACTGTAGTGAAAACTCTCAGAGAAGAGAGGGAAAAGGCCCAAGATGATGTAGCACTATTAAAGCAACTCAGGAAAGAGCAGACAAAGGTGAGTAGTGGAGTTTTTTAGAGGTTGCTTATAGAGGAAAAAGAGGATGTCTTTGCCAAACAGAAAGACCAGTGTGATGGAGAGAACCTGAAGTGTATCCTGATTCAGACAGTCTTTTCCGAGGCTCTTGTTGGCTGGGTTTGTGAGAGCTGTTTTCCCTAGTACTCAAGACAGAGTTGCTTTTATACTGCTAGAGGAGAATTTTCTTGGATCCTGTTACACAAATGCTGTAGAAAACCACGTGTACTTCTTCATGGTGGACTCTAGCTTTGACTGACCAACACCACTACCTTTCCTGTCCTGTACAAGGAGCTGCCAGGCAACCCTGAATTCCACTTAACTAACTTTTTTGCTGTTTAGCATTTCTTGGATTAGTATTTCGAGTACCTTGTGATGGTGTGATAGAGACTTCTGGGTTTGTGGAAGGAATTGATGTGCAAATACCCTCTCAAGCTTCTGGGTGGAAAGTGTTCTTTACCAGAGGTGAACAGGGGTGATTGAGGTGGAGTGTCAGAAGTGGAGAAAGGAGCCCCCCTGAAGTTCTTGCCCCCGTTCCAGGGCCCCCTTTTTATAAGGAAAAGGATACTGAAAGAACCTGTGGCAGGTGAGAAGTTTTATTTTTAAAGCCTCACTTGAGGAACTGCTAACACATGTCCATATTAGTCTGGAAAACTAGAATGGTAGCTTAGTATTTTCTACAAATTTTGCTTAAATCGTTTAGTTACTGAGCCCAGAAGCTACCACTGAAACCGTTTTGATTACAGTGATAATATTTAGTGATTGGAGGTGATTTAAAATGTTAAAAGCAATCCATGAATTAGAAACATCTCATATTTTTTGATGAGGTGACATCGAATTTGCTCTTGGACTTTGAGGTGTGATCCCTTTGTTTTTTGTTTGGGGTTTTTTTGAGGATTTTTGTTCTTATTGAGAGTTGTGTTTTTTTCCTAAAAGTCAGGAAAGCTATCTTGACAGAACACATCCTCATTTTAAGATTATGCATTTCAAATGTATATTCACTTGGTTGCAATACAGATTTCCTTTCTCTTGTTATGTGTGTTTCTCTCATCTTGCTAATGGTACGAGTTGGAGGATTTTATCCAAAATTATTGCTTCTAGGTTATTGAATGAGAAGACTTGGAGTGGTAGTTTCTTTGAACTGCCAAAAATCTTCTGAGTGGTTGTTTTGTAAAGACCTACCCTGGTCATCTAGTCACTCTGTGGATGCTGAATTGTTATTTCAAACACTTTGATGTCCTGTTGAATAGGTGAAAGTCCATCCAACAATTGAAGCAGCTCTGTGTGTCTGGACATCTTACCTGGAAGGTTTTTGATGGCATTGCTGTCTTGGGTTGCACCTGTTCACACCACTCTAATTGGAAGCTTATATTTAAAATGGATAAACTCTGATTCTTAGTCTGTTGTGTTAAAGAGTCCAACAAAAATGCATCCTAAATGTTGGCAGAAATGGCAAATGATGCTTGTATTTCCTACTGTTGCTTCAGGACCAAACCACCATGGGTCACCTGAACACAACTGTTACACCTGCCCTTGGGGTTTCTAATAGGTGTGAAACAAAGAGATTCTTACATTTCTCATGGATCGAGTGAGTGCTCAAGAACTGCATATTGTGGTACTTCTGCCAGAGCTTTTGCATCTGTATAAACCTGGTTCGTCCTGCTCTGATGACATAAAATATTAACTGGTTCAAATAGCACGAACATATGTGACCAGACTGCAGACCCTTTTTGGTCAATGCACAGAGTAGATGGCAAAGGAAGGGGAGTGGATCTCTTTATGATCTTAATTTTAAATCCAGGATCTGAGATCTGTGTTCAGTCCTAGCTTCACTATATGACTCTAGTAATGTGGAAGAGTGACAACCCAAGGCTGCAGAGCTAACCACAGTCCTGGCATCCCCTGTGCTGAGTGCTTGAATTAGGTGCAGTTATTTGTGTGTGTGAAGCCATTAAAGGTAATCAGTTAGTTGCTAGCAAGTCTTAATGGGCAATATTTAAGAACAGATCATTATCAATCAGGAGCTACTTCTGCCAGGCTTGCACTGCAAGTCTGCCTTCGCTGTGCCCTTGCAGACTTCCCTCTGCATTGGCTGGCTGGAAGGGCCAGGATTTCAGGATGGATATACATTGTGCCCTTTAGTTTGCACCACAGGAGGGGATATGCATCTGGTGCTGGGGCTGTGAGCTAGAAAGATGCAGCAGTAGTAAATGCTGAAGGCTGCAGGGAGGCCAGTTCCACAATAACCTCTTTATTTGTTACTTTCTGCAGTTGAAATTGATGCAGTCGGAGCTGAATGTTGAAGAAGTGGTAAACGACAGAAGCTGGAAGGTACTCAGTCATTTAAAACAGTGATGGTGTTCTGTCCAGACAGACAGTCCTGCACTGGAGATGTGGGGCTGGTGCCTAATGAAGCAGATTAATTAAAAATAGATGAGGGCAGTGCTGGGTAAAATGTTTCGAGTCAGTCATTTTCCCAGTTCTGGATGCAAAGATCAAAGATTTTCAGTTGTACTGCAAAGGAAAGAAAAGTATCTGATTTAGGAGGGAGGGAGGACTGTGTAGGTCCCTTGCCCAGTGGTTGAGGAACTTTGTAGACTTTTCTGTAGTGGCCTGAAAAATCTTTGCTGAGCCTCTAACAATGCCAGAGATGGGTCTTTCACATTTGTTTGTGTCTGGTGCTGTGATCACACTTTTGAGCGGAGCCCACGGGAGGGTGCAGCTGTAGAAGTTGCTTTTTTCCTGGTGGAGTTTCTTCAGGCCTGAACTGGCACTCCCTGGTGCAAAGGGCAGATAAACTCTCTAGACTGATGGCTTCAAACTCTGTCTTGTTACAGTGTGATCTTAACACTGACCTTAAATCCTGAGGTGGCTGTGTTGTGTCACTGCAGCATTTCACATTAGCATCCTTTTCTGGTTTGTTACACCTTTTCAGTGCAGGGAGAACCTCTTCCCCTCTCCAAATGCAAAATTGATTTTTGCAATTAGCTGCATCTCCCTTTTTAATATCTACTTCATGATTTTAGTCCCCTGGTGTAAAAGCAATACAGCTTTAAGTCTTGTGTGTTCTTCAGTCACCTCCATGCAGGCTGAGGAGATGAGCATGTACACAATTTTCTGTGTATGCTTTGCCATCAGTACTACCTCTGCACTTTCTGAAAATGCTAAGTATGCCCTTAAGCTTAATTAATTTTAAACCACCTCAGATCTAACTGAATGATGCCACAGCCTTAACAACACCCTGTAGGTCAGCAGCAGCAAATATTTTATGGCAACTCTGCTATAGGGGGACAACCCCTACCCCATCTTCATTCTGAAGCACTGAGTTGACACCAAATTTAGTACTGATCCCCATGATTTCTTGTAGCTGCATTAAGCTTTTGCTAGTGACAGAACCCTCTAGTTTTTCCAGAAGATGGAGAGTTTATAAACAGTGATGTATGGATGCAGGAGTATTTTAGCCTGCTAGTGTTTGGAGTGGGGCTTGAAGAGATAAGCATTTCTGGGTTTTATTTCCAGCTCTGCTACATCGTGCTCTGATTAGAGGCATAAATGTCTCATTTAGCTGCAAGTGGTAGTGTGTCACTGAAAGAACTACAACAGGTCATATTGTGGACTGAATGCCGTTTGTTACATGGAAGTGTTATGTGTTTCACTGTTGCAGACTTCTAGTTGGAGAGTACACTTAAGTGTTGCCTTTAACCAACTGAAAACTGACTGGAAAAATCTAATTAAGAAACATTTACTTTCAAACACTGTGGCTAGCTGTAGCAACAGCCTCATACAGAAAGGTGCTGCTTTATAGCAAGGCCTGCAGTGGAATTTGACTGAAACCAAACAAGTAATTGGTTTCCAAACAAGACTAATGCAAGCATTAGGCTCTCTACAGCACCTCCACACAAGTTTATTGTTGGAGTGTTTTATACTAACATGTAAGAGACAGCAAAATCAAACTTCTGTGTAGTAACCTGAATGTTAAGATCTCTCAGGCACTGCTTTTCCTGTCTGAAAAATGAGACTAGCACTTCACAGGTGTACCAGTGGTGTTAAAGGGGTCTGAGTAACACACTGAGATCTGCGAGTCAATGATCCTAAAAGCAGGAGATGGTGTTAGTAAGATTGCAGTATTGATCCTCCTTCCATAGGTTGCAGAGTTACTGGTAAAGATGCTTTAAAAGTTTGATGATGGCTAGCAAGTTGGTGTGTTGCTTGATGCAAGAGGCCCTTACAGTGAGTGTTTCCAGTACCCTTTAAGACATGTGTGCCATTGAAATGTCTTTAAAAGACAATGGACAAAAATGGGGCAATTTGCTTAGTATTAAAATGTTTCTGAATTGGAATCCTCTGTTGCTCTTAATTTTTACTGTTTCCTCCTATCACTTACCTGATCTCAAACCTTTACAAAGTCTTAAGTCTTCCAGAGGTGTCCATTGCATGTGGTAACCTAGTGGGACTGGTTGCACGTGTGTATGTGTGAAAGAAAATATAGCACAACTTTTTTTCTCTGCAATATGAAGCAGTTTGTAATACATGTCTGTTATTTTCAAATTTAATTTACTTTAATAAAGTTGGAAAATGACTAAAAAATTGTTAAGAATCAATGCTGTAACTAATGTGTGCTCCAAACTTCACTTTTGCTGAAGTTGCCATAGGTTCTAAACTGAATAAGGAGATCAGCTGTAGAGTAGAAGATTTTAGGAAGATACAGCTTGAAATAACGTATTTATATAAAGTGATGCATAACTTCCCCAAAATCATAAGGCAAATCACTTTGCTTGTAAAACCAATGAGAGAAATGACAAAACTTGATGTCCTGATGATCACAAATGTTTGGGTCTGTCAAGTCCCTGGACAGCTTGGCAAAACGCACTCTTGTGGGAGCGCTGGTGTGGGAACCAACAGCTGCCAGTGCCTCAGCTTGGTGCTAGGTGGAGCTCGTGTTGCTTTCAGGACACGTGTGAGACACAGCCAAACCAGTAACTAACTAAATGGCTCGTGAAGAGCTCCTGTAACTTTGGTGGGAGCCTGTGTGTTGTGCTTTTGATTCAGGCTGCCTTACTTTAAATGTTTCACGTTTATTTGCCCTCCTTGGGGCTGGCAGTCTGCTTGACAAGGCCTGCAGCAGTTCAAGCTGAATATAAATAATCATCAGTATCCAGTTCCATATGCTAAATTTTACCCAGAGAAGGTGCCAGAGGTGAGTGAGGCGAGAGCAGTGTGCCCTTTGCATGGGAGTACTGACAGCATCAGCACCTGCAGGCAGATACCTGGAAGCACAAACGTGACTTTCAGGAACCTTTGCCCATCTTCTTAGCTGTCATGACAATGTAAAAGATGTTTGCTCAGGAAAGAGAGTCCACATTTGAATGCCAGAGTGAACTGAACAGAACACAGCCAGTAAGGAGCCTTCTACTGATCATTTCCCTCCCTTTTAAAAACAAAAAGGCTTCAGCACTTTTGATGATAACAGATTACCAGGATTAAGAGTCTGCCTTATCTGAGGGAGGACACTTAGTGCTGTGCAGTCACCCAGCGTCAGGCTGCAAACTTTGGATTCACTAAAGCCAGGAGAGAAGGTGAATGGAGACGGATGTCTTGGTAAGTACCATTGACTGGTACATCAGGGCTGGGCAGCTTGAGGTGGGTGCCATATGAAGAGGTAATTGCCTGAACTAGCTCTGAAGTTCTGCTCTTCTCCTGCATGAGGGCTGATTTGCTTTTGCTCTTCTGTTTTGGTGTCTCAGGTATTTAATGAGCGCTGCCGAATTCACTACAAGCCTCCGAAGAGTCAATGATGTGGGACATTTCCATCACGGTGGTCCATTACTGTGAGAGCCAAACTGGAAAGAGACCTTGGGTGAGCTGTACTGGGACCCTCCAGAACCAGTAGAACCCAGTCTTGTTTTGTTTTGGACCTACTTAGCTGAAATCTCAAGGTTGAAATGATTCTCCTGTAATTAAGAGAAAACAACTCATCTTTTGTACAAAATACGTGAACAAATGAGTTTTATAGTATTAAAGTAATTTTCAAATGGAATGCAAAACTGGCATCTTTTTTGAACTTCTACAGCTTCAGTGGTCCCAGAGGAGAAGAAACAGTAAAACCCATCTCTGAGCAAGGAGGACAAAGCTCTCCCTGAACTAGTGCCTGCTAAACTATCAGTTAATGTGGTCTGTTTGTGCAAATAATCTGCTCAAATCTGAAAGGAAATAAAAATTGCAGAATGATCAGCAAGTGTAGTAGGTTCAGCATCCCTGAGAGTAAGAAGCTACCAGCATTGTTCTGCGCAGTGTTAGCTCAGGGCTCTGTGTGGATGCAGGTTTGCCATTGCTCCTGCAATGCTGGCAGGCGGCATGTCTTGCATACTCTCCTTTGGTCTTGTGTCACCAAGTTCTGGATTTTTCCTTTATGTAGGGAATGTGATATTGGTTAAAGCCAGTTTGTGTTGGAGATGAATATGTGTCTCATTTGTGAATGAGACACTTAACTGTCCAGTGACTCATTTTTGTCCCTCCTTCTGAACCTCTAAAATTAATTCCGTTGATGAACTGTGTTTGAACTGAGCAAAGAGCTGTGCACACCTGATCCGGTTGATTATGGCCATAGTGTTGTGTTTAGAAAGCTTTTATGCAACACTCCTGCAGTAACACAGCATTTAAAGGCACATAAGTATAGGGAAGGCTGAATGAATAGTACTTACACCTTGACTTTTTGCTAACTCAAATTGGCTGATAGTCAATGACAAGGCCTGTGTGGTTGCCAGCTGGTTTTCTAACTTAATGGTAAGTCTTTAAGAATCACTGGAGTTGAACAGAGCCTTAAAAATACAGGCCCTATCTTGCAAACACTTTGGAACTCGACAACAGCAATGAAATCATTGTATACTCGCACATCCCTAAAAGCTGTACATATATGGGGGGTGGGAATTCAATCAAGGACTCTACCTGTGTTACTGAAAGCTGGCAAAGATCTGTGCAGCATCACCTGTTTTATGGTTGTTTGTCCAATAGAGACTCAAAATACTTGGTGGCCTTTAGGCAGCAGGGTCATTTAGTCTCACTTTCATTTGAGAAGGAGGCGCAAATATATTTTAAGTCTTTGAGTCCTAATGTTCAAATTTCTTTTTTTTTCTATTTTTTTTTCAAGGTACTGCAAGTGCTCTAAGCAGAACTTTACTCTAGTTGGAGCATTCATTTCACTCTTGAAGATTTCTCATTGTTTTTCTGCAACTCTGAAAGCAGAAAACGTATTTGTTCTTCAGCTGTTAAATTCTTATAATTGTTTATCATCAAAGTGGAAATCAAATACTGCCCAGAACTGTGGGCTAAATTGGCACTAACCTAATATCCACAGGAGATGGCAGATTAATGAGATGTTGAGAACAGTCAGTTTTGATTTCAGAGTTGGCACTTTAATACTGACCTCTAATATAGGTGTCTAAAATACTTGTTCTCTCTAGGGCTTGGATCAACTGCAAGGACAAATTCTCCTTTTAAGCCAGTTGTATGATAGAAACTTCTGCCAGCATGTGTAGAGTTGGTATCAATACTCTTGAAATTTAATCTTGTATTTCTGTAGAAACTAGACATTATAATGAGAATAATAATTGTCCTCCTTTATCCATCCAGATGTTTGCTCAGCTGTTGTGGGAAAACTTCTTCACTTAAGCAGATGCTGTGAAATGGATGTGATACATACACAGATTTTTCTTTTTTCTGCCTTTTGTATGAGAAAACTATGTTCAAGAAACCCCAAACCAAACAAAAAAAAAAACCCCAAAAACACCCCCAAACCCCAACCCAACATAGCATTATTTTCATTTTGAATATAAGGCCGAAAAAGTAGTCCTATACAAACCTGTATATGAAAAACTTCTGACACCATAAGAAGACTCCTAAGTCCCAAATATCCTTCTTCAGGTGTTTGCAGCTTGTATACAGAGGGTTGCACTAAGAAGGTGAATTGCTCTATTTAGTTTGCTGTCAGCACAGAGGGATATCTCTTGCAGTAGTCCATGGCAAATCACATGGATTAGAGGCTGTTTGAATCTTGCTGTTGAACTTAGTGGCACATGAAGGTGAGTAACTGGAATTGCATGCCATGCTTCGGGGCACGGGGCAGGTGAACATGGCTCTGCTGTTTTCTGAGTATTTAAGATCTGCCTCTGAAGTGTGATGGTTTGCAAATGGCAGTGGTGTGGGCTGTGGGCCACACTGAAATCAGGCTGGTAAAATCTCTATGCCTAGTGACCCCGTTCACTCCCAGATCATGCTTAGTCTGGGATTCAGTGTTACCATCAGGATAGTTACAACATTACTGGGCTGCTGGATGTCATCTGGGAATCAAATAATGGACCCCGCAAATAGCAGGATTTCATCCTTTTCCTGGTTTTAACTTCTATTTCTGCAAGTAAAAGGCACTTGAGCACAAGTGGTGGCCCTGTCCAGAGTCCTGTGGGTGGCTTGCCCCTCTAGGGGGACTTTCCCATTGCTTGGAAGTGGTGGATAGACTTGGGCAGATCCCACTTGCTTGTCAAGTCCTCTTGAGCTTGTGTATTTTATTTCCTCCTGCAAAATAGAAGTGTGTTTTTTCTGGCACTCAGTGCTGTTGTCTTCTGCAGCCTGCAGGCATGAAAGACTGATGAAGCAGTTCATTTCTTAACAGAATACTTTTATTGATAGAATTCAGTTGTCTTGAAGCAGACTGAGGGGAAGAGGCTCTTTCCTGGTCCATAGGCTCAGAGTAGGCTGATAATTTTGTGCTGCTGAAGGTCAGGTTTTTGTTGATCCTCATTGATATACGATGTCAGAAATCTTGAAATCAGGGTGGGGAGCAGGAGGGGAAACTGTTTTTGCAGATCAGCACATTGAAAGTCAAGGCTGTTGCTCTGATGGTGAAAAAGATCTTCAATTGGTAGGTGAAGAGCTGCGTTTCTGTAGAAGCTCTTAAAACCAGTCAGACCATGTGCCATATCATCCAGTCACAATTATGTGTCTTGTCATTGTGAAACCAGAAAACTGGCTTAGTTTTTGCAGTAATTTCTACAGAGCTGACTTCATTTCTGGTTTAAAAATGACTTGTGGATACATAACGCCAGGGTTTGGATTTTGGTCGGGTGTTTTTATATTTTATTTTGTGTGCTTTATTTTGTTACTGTACTGGTGTTTTTATTAACTGTAGTTTGTACTTCTTAAAATTGCTTAAACAGGACTGTAGTGGCCTGCAGGCTGTACAGATTTGTGTCATCTGTATTTTGCAAGATGTTACTGAGCTTCAAACATATAAAGAATACTAGTGCTGTTCTTGCTGTTCTCCCATCCGATTGTCCAAGATAACAGCAGTAGAGTGACGTGAAAAGAAATTTACATCTGGGCAAATGAAAAGCATAGGCTGGAATGGTATGTGCTATCAACACAGCCCGAATACTGAGGAGGGGACACTCACTAGCTTGTCAGTGTTGTGCAAGAGGTGGATTGGGAACAGCTGCCCTTTTCATGGCAGTGTTCCAAATTCTTGTTTCCTTACATCCAAAGCTTGATAGCGAGGGGTTGCCTAATCCATTGCCAGTTAATCCATTGCCAGTTACTTAGCTTATCTGTCCTTCTGTGTGAGTAAGACTCATACTAGCAACATGGTGGTACGTGATCAGCTTTGAGTGAATCAGAAGGATCTTGTGCAAAAGGACTTTGATTTCATCAGCTTGAATTGTCATGAGCTCCACCAGTGTGGCTGTGAGTAACTGCTCATCTGGAGGAAGGGTGTGTGACATTGGTGGAAGCCCCAGAATTCTGTCTAGTTTTAACAACTCCTGAGAACTGGGAGAATTTTTCTCTTTGTTCAGAAAGATGTTATCTCAGGACAATTGTTTTTCCTCAGATACTTTTCACCCACTGTCTTAGCATTACTGCTCAAGTTTGGGAAATTCTGCAACATCTTTATCGGTAACATACTCTAATATTGATCTATATACTGTTGAGTTTAGGTCCTGTACAGCCTCAGTTTCTCAATCTCAGGTCCTTTGTACCAAAAACAGGCCTTGAAGTCAGTTATGAAGTACTTGTTTACAGTCTGTTGCATCATTTGTCATCTGTGAGGAGGAGGGTCAGTACCTTGGGTAGGACACTGATAAGTCTGTGCTACATGGACACTATTCCTGTGGCTATAAACATACTTGTTTCTGGCAAATTCCCTAATGCTGATTCCAGTAGAAGTGCCCATTGCCTGTGTGCAGCACAAATTCTCATTTCACCTACTCCCATGTACCCAACACTAGAGACTAAAAATTATCTCGTCTATTGCTACTTCTCTGGCCCTAGCTCTGGAGCAACGTTCCTTGCATGGAGACTAAAAATTATCTCGTCTGTTGCTACTTCTCTGGTCCTAGCTCTGGAGCAACGTTCCTTGCATTTGCTGGAGACGGGGATGGCAGGAGTATCAAAGGGGGGTAATTATTTCTGTGGTCTTGAAGTGTTAGCTCTCCCTTACCAAGGAAAGCTGCTAGCAGTTGTTAGTCTTCCCTCAGTAGGTTGTGTGTGTTTTGAGCTTCGTACATTCATATACAGTCATGAATATGACTGTGACTGTAACTGCAGAAGGAACACTTACGACTATATATTCTGCATGTTACGTGTTTCAGCAGTGTACCCTGAAATTAGGACAGCTATTGCCACTACTCTGTCGGGAGGGATTGTACTTTGTCTTCCAGGAAATTTGCGCTAGAATATTGATTAAAATGTAAATGGTACTGCATAGTCAGTTGTTATTAGGATTGCCTGAGTGCAGCTCTAGATTTGATGGGACAGAAGCAGAAATACCTTATTTGCAGTACTTACTGAACCTCGGATTTAATTTTTTCTACTCCTGGTGCTGCTCTTTTCCTTGGCACCTTTCTGGTCAGGTAGAGGGAAGTAAAGTCTGCTCCTGTTTCCCCACTTAGAAGTATATTGAGACAATACAATTTCAAGTTGAACAGGACCTGCACTAAGGAAACTGCCACATGCTTTCTGATCTGGAAAGGTGTTGGGAAATACCAGGTGTGACTTTGATCACTCTCCTAAGTGCATAGTTGTGTGCATGTGGGTGGAGGAGCAAGAGGTTCCAGTTGCAGCCCAAACCAACTGTCTTAAGATGCAGGTGCTGGAGGCTGATGTTGGCTTTTCTTATTGATGTGAATACTGTACCCACTTAAGAGTTTTAAAGTGCTTTGTTCATTTATTATTTATGTTATCAGTGCTTTACACTGCTTTTCCCCCCACTTTTCCCTGTTTGTCTCCTTTTCTAGTTCAGTGGTGGTAGGCTCCATATGTTAAAGGTCACGTGATTCTATGACACATGGGTATGCATATAAATATGAGGTGCCTGGTGACTGCTCAGACTGCACTAAACTTCCCTCTTCAGCACCACCTGTCTTGGTGACTGCTCAGACTGCGTTAAACTTCCCTCTTCAGCACCACCTGTCCTTTCAGAGAAGTCACCTGCCATGATGATGACTGGGGGCTTGTCTGACGCGGAGGCTGCTACTCCAGAAGTCCAGCAAATTGTTAGCCAGGTGAGTTATGCCCTGTCTATAGTTGAAATCTCTGCAGAGGTCAGCCCTGAAGCTTGCATAGAGGCTTTGAGACAAGGTGGTGATACTGAGCCAGGCTTTAAAATGAAGAAGCTCATGCTGAAAGTGGGAATCCCCTTGACTGCCAGTAAGTGTTTTCTCAGCAGTCTGTGCAGGCAGTGCACTGGTAAGACACAGACAAACCACTTCTCTGTCTCATCCTTGATCATAGCCAGGTGTAGTACTAGCTGCCTTCAGTGAATGTTGGCATGTAGTTCAAAGCCCAGCTTTGCTATGCCAGCACTGAGGTGGCTCCTTTGAAATTTGGAGGGAGAAGGTTGTACCTGGTAGAATTAATTCCTCACTGAAGGATGTGGTTAGGACAAACCACGTGCTAGTATGCACTAAAACATTATATGCACAGGACAAGGTTATGGATAAATGGTGTGTTCTCTGCTGGCATTAAGTGTTTTCTAGGGTCACAGCTGTGATGCAGGGGCAGATGTTGAGCCTGTGGTGCAAGGGGAGCTTGGCACAAGGCAGGCAGGCTGAGCCCAGACATTTGATGTCACATGAGGCTTCTGATTTAGCAGAGTGATACAAATATACTGGTAACTTGATACAGATCTAAATTACTCCTAGCAAAACGGTGCTGTTGCAATATGCAGTTCGGCAATGACATCAGTGTGGTCTCCACTACTGGTCTGCAGAACGTGTTCCCTGTCACAACACTGGGCATCCTCAGCTGCCAGAAAGGGGTGTGTGGGTTGAAGCCAGTTCAAGCCCACTGTTTTGTTTCGTTCACTGTTCAGTTTTTATACTCTATGTTGGGCAGGGCCATGTGTTCACTAGCCCCATGCTGGTCTGGCCAACTCAGGGGAGTGTTCGCATTCTTTTAATGAACTTGGGGAGTTACAGCACCAGTTGATCCACTTGACTGACAGAGCTATTTATCTAAAACACCCTTTGTGTTGAGATAAGGTCAGTTTATTTGCAAAAGCTGTGGTCAGTCAGCCCCTGCATTACTCCCTGGGTTTTGTGGGCAGCACACTCTCCAGCTCTGGAAGAGACTTCTTCCATTGTGTGGAAGCTTTATTGGTCAGGCGCAGCTGAAGTCACCAGAGTTGGGCACACGTACGTGGGGGAGGGCTGGAGCATGGGGTAAAAGGTTAGTCAGAGGGGAGATAATTTGCTGCAGAACAGAGAGAGAAAAGGATGATCTACAGTTGTTTGGGGGACACTGAATTACTCGGGAGCAGTAACACTGTTCCTCCTGTGCTAGCAGGAGTGGTTGCAGGAGTAGCACTTGCAGAGATCAGAAATCCCCTTTTACCCATGGAGGGGAGGGACTTGTAGCACATTTGTGTATTTGCAAAATCTTGTTTCCTCATCTGTAAGATGGGGGGGGCAATGTCGCATGCTGCCTGTGTGTGAAATTTGACTAATGAGTCTGTGAAATGCCTTAAGGGCCTCTTTTTGAACACAGCTCGGACACTGCCAGATACTGAGCTGTTCTCAATGCTGGGCTGTGTTATGGGTGGTCAAAAGACCCTGCCCAACTCAGTGCATATTGGAGGAGAAACCACAGCACTTAGCTGTCAGTGAGCAAACAGGCACTTAAAAATGTGAATGCTGACTTCAGGCTGTGCTAGTGCTCACAAAGTACAGTGCAAATAGGGAATCTGAAATGTGGTGCACAGATTTTCTGCTTGATTCCAGGAAACGACTGATCTTAATTTTGGTGTTCTGCTCCCAGTAACTTTGGGAGAATGAAAACAGATTATTCTTTGCTCTTTATTTTCTGCAAGGTGACATTTCTGCCTTGTTCTGAGAGCAGGAGAGAGAACTCTTCCTGGTCCTTTCTTCTCTGCATAGGCTTTGTTATAGTTCTCTAAGTAACATATTCTTATGGAGACAAACCTTATGTTGGGGAAATCCCGCTATGCTTCCCAGCGTGTCACCCTTTCATGATGCAATCCTGTGGGATTTTATGCTCTGCTAAGCAGAGGAGCAGTTGCTGTGATTTGTGTGAAGTTGTGAAGAGCATCTGCAGGGCTTGGGATGCCCAAGGTCTGTCTGCTTGGGATTACATAATTACTTACTTAGACCTGTGCCTTGTCTCTAGTCATCATTACTGATCTGGGGAATGTAATTTGTTCAGTCTCTGTGTTTTATAGCTGTTTTGGGCTTAAGGTGCTGGTAGATAAGAGCTCAGGAATGTTACACTTTTCTATCTTAAGTGTTAAGGAGCTGTTTGCCTGGCTGATTTTACTGAAGGCTTAGTCCATAAATGTGGCCAGAGGTTGAGCGAGATAGCAAAACTGGGGAGAAGCAGCTTGGTTTTGTTTTGTTTTGTTTTGAGAGAGGAATATGATGTACCAAATGCTGCCACTTAGGAGCGTTCTAGGAGCCCCCTGCCCCAACCAGCTGGAAGGTGGTTGGAAATTAAAGTTTCCCTGGTTTGCTAGGGTCAGCAGCTCATGAGTTGGAAGTATAGCTGTTGGTTCCTGGGGATAGAAACCTGATGGAAGCTGCATGGCAGAAGAGCAGAGTAAGAGATTATAAGGAGCTTGCATATGATAATTTCTGACCCTCTGAAAATGACCTGGATGCTCCCTGGGTGCTTTCTGTGACCTTCCTGCTCAGAGGGAATGCTATGGGAATGGCGGTCAGCTGTGGGTGGATGTGCCAAGGAAGCAAATTAATTCTGTATTTCTGTGAAACAGGTGGGTGGTGAGAAGCTCTGACATGCTGCTGGCCCCTCCCGGGGGCTGCCTGAGCAGGCTGCTGCATGACCCTGCACTCCTCTGCTCAGCTTCTGTGATGCGTCAGGCATGGGCATCGTGCAGAGAGGCACCACGTACTCAGCGTACTCAGTCTGTGCTTTCTGTGTGGTGGTCAGAGGCCATCTTGGGCATGATACGAGGTTTTAATTCTTGGAGAAGTAAGGAAGGGGGGCAGCAAAACTGCTGCCTTGAACTTCTGGAGGTCAGACTTTGGCCTGTTTAGGAGTCTGGTTGAGACAGTGCCTTGGGAAGCAGTCCTGAAGGGCAAAGGAGTCCAGGAAGACTGGACATTCTTCAAGAAGGAAATCCTAAAGGTGCAGGAGCAGGGTGTCCCCATGTGCCAGAAGACAAGCTGGTGGGGAAGAAGACGAGCCTGGCTGAACAGAGTTTTGGCTGGAACTTGGGGATAAAAATAGAGTTTATGAGCTTTGGAAGAAGGGGCAGGAACTCAGGAGTTGTTCTGACAAAGGTGTTGTGAGGGTATGCAAGGAGAAAGTTAGAAAGACGAAAGCCCAACTAGAACTCAAATCTATCCATTGCCATTTGTAAAAAAATGTTTTTACAAAATGTTTTTACAAATACATCAGCAAAAAAAACCAACGGAGGGCAAAGGAGAATCTCAATCCTTTACTGGATAAGGGGGAAAACATTGCCACAAAGGATGAAGAAAAGCCTGAGGTACTTAACACATTCTTTGCCTCAGTCTTTAATAGTAAGACCAGTTGTGGCCTGTGTGGCCAGCAGGACCAGGGAAGTGATTGTCCCCCTGCATTTGGTACTGCTGAGGCTGCACCTCGAGTGCTGTGTCCTGTTTTGGGCCCCTCACTACAAGAAAGGCATTGAGGTGCTGGAGTGTGTCCAGAGAAAGGCAAAGAAGCTGGTGAAGGGTCTAGAGAGTAAGTCATATGAGTAGCAGCTGAGGGAGCTGGGGGTGTTTAGCCTGGAGAAAATGAGGCTCAAGGGACCCCTTGTCGCTCTCTACAACTACCTGCAGGAAGGTTGTAGCAAGGTGGGGGAGTTGGCCTCTTCTCTCAGGTAACAAGTGACAGGACAAGAGGAAATTACAAGTTGCACCAGGGGATGTTTAGATTGGCTATTAGAAAAAAATTTCTTCATGGAAAAGGTGGTCAGGCATTGGAGCAGACTGGCCGGGGAAGTGATGGAATCACTGTCCCTGGAAGTGTTAAAAAATCATGTTAACGCGGTGCTTAGGGACATGGTTTAGTGGTGGTCTTGGCAATGTCAGGTTTATGGTTGGACTTGATGACATTAGAGGTCTTTTTCAGCCTAAATGATTACATGATTCCAGATGATAGAAATAAGTTTTCAGGTTACATTTGCTGCAGTTGTCTTTCTGTAGGGAATTTGTGTCATGGGATGCAAACAACTGGTACATAGATCATGATGCCTTAGACACCTGGCCAGGCTTCCACCACTGCTCACGTATGTCCCCCTCACTATGCCCCTGCCCTTTCAGGCAAGTAATATAGGAATATCTCATCGATGAGAGGATAGTACCACTGTAACTGGTGCTGAACTTAAAACTTGCACTGCACTTTGTGTTTCAGGGAAAAATGTTACACCTTTTCTTTTACCTCCTTTTTATTTTTCTTAATATTATAGAATTATAAACTGGTTTGGGTTGGAAGGAACCTTAAAGATCATCTAGTTCCTGCCTTGGACACCTTCCACTAAACCAGGTTGCTTAAAACCCCATCCAACCTCTCCTTGAACACTTCTAGGGGTAGGACATCCACAGCTGCTTTGGGCAATGAAATTTTCAGGAACTACTTGATCAGGTGGTTGTCTCGATACTCTCAAAGAGCCCTGTTTATTGGAAGTCCTTAAAAAACCCCAAACAGATCAAGTGCAGCTCTGAGGCTGTGACACATGACAGGGATCCCCAGCCTCCCAGGCTGGCTGGTGTGGGTGCAGGTGTTCCAGGCGAGGGGAGCTGTCTCACACCTCTGTGTAACAGTGTGGTTGACATGGGGTGTTCCTGGTCAGGAGCACGGCTTGGTGCCAGTCTCCTTTGACACAGAGTTAAAGGGGCAGCATGTAGCAGTTTCACCTATACCAAGCAGGAGACAGTTCAGCTAGGCAGCTTTTGGAGCAGGGAAAATCGACTAGGCAGTCTCATTCTAACAGGATTTTAAAGCATGCTGGAGGCAATGCTACAGAAGAGGGCTGGAGGTCTTGTGTAAATTGATTAGTGTGGGGGTTCTGGGTTTATTTTGCTAAGGGTGTATGTTTGAAAGGATGAAAATTGGAGTGGTAGATGTGAAAGAAAAGCCTAATTATGAACCTGCCAATCATTTTCCCCTTTCTTTTTACAGGTGAAGCCACAGTTTGAAAGTAAGGAAAACAAGAATTGTGCCATGTTTAAAGCCATAGAATATAAGACTCAACTGGTTGCTGGGGTAAACTACTTTATTAAGGTTTGTATAGATTACAGGAGGGAGTGCTTTGCAGTTAAACAATGTAAGTGACTTGCAGAGTGGGTTATAGCTAGAAAGAAAAGCAAATGTAGTAGAAAACCATTTGATGTGACTAGTAGAGTTGGTGACTATCTCCAGATTCTTATAAAATTCCTGTTTGGGGCTACTGTAGAACAGGAACATAAATACTTCTAAAACAGGCACTGTACTTCTTCAGATGTGAATTGTGTTTCTTAGGATGATCCCACAGAAAGACTAGATTGCCTTGCAACCCAAATTAATTAAACAAGTCGTAACTCTGCTCTCCTGTTTCCTTTCAAGGCAAAGTAGCTTTTCTATTGTGTCTGTGTCCTCCAGATGTCAGCATGTTTATTATGCTGCATTTGAAGTCAGCCTGAGGATCTGGCAGAGTCAGAGTCCATTCTGTAATGCAGCGCAAGCACCTCATACTCTGATGACTAGTTTTGCATGCAGGTATATGTGTTGATGTTTCAGTTGTGTGTCACATGCTGCAGAGGCACAGCCTGCCTTCTAGTTCTGCCTTATCAAAATCCCCTCTCTGCTGTGAAGAAAAATGGGTAACGCTTAATTTGGAGCCCTCTGAAAGCACCATTCATCCTCTACCAGAAAACCTTACCCACAGATGGTGAGCAGCTTTCTGTGAAGTAATGTAGGAGAAATTGCTGGGTGTGTTTTGCATCTGAAGGCCAGAAAGCACTGCTGAATGGCAGCCTGGCCTTCTGGAAGTAGAGCAGACATGGCACCTGACCTGCTGTATGTGAATCCTATGTGTGTGCAGATGTGCCTGGTAGGACACACTCCCTTGACAAGGGTCTGAATCGTTTTATTAAAGCAATTAGCAGGTAGTGCTTGTGGGAGAGTAACTCTGCAGAGAGACATCCTGAGTATTTGCTCCATGCTTCTCATATTTATTTGATCCCAGGCAGGACAGACACTGCCAAAGCTTCTTCTTACCCAGGTGCTTCCTTAATACAAGTCTTAAGTTAGTTGTGCTCTGTGGGCACCAGGAGCTTGTACTGTCAGACTACCTATTACATGGCTAGTTGGAGTCTTACTTGCATGAATGATGCTTATCCTTCCCTTGCTTCTGTGAGATGTGCTTGCACTTTGTGGCCAAAGCACTGAGAGTTACAGGAAAAAATGTTAGGCTGTTTACAGGCTGTACCTGTACCTTTACCTCATAAAGAGTCACAGTTTACAGGTACAGCCAGAAGTTACATCCAGTTGCATTTTTTTTCCCTTAGTGCCACCTTATTGCTGACCTATGCAACATAAAATACTTGTCTGGTGTCTCTGCTAAGCCTCATGAGCAAACTACTCAATGAAGACTGATGTTACTGAACTTGGAAGAAATCCATTTGTGACATTGAAACCAGATGATTTCTCTCCTCTTTCCCAGTGATGGGAAACAGTTACTCATTTTAGCATTAACTGGAATGAGCTCTGTCACAAGATTCCTTCTTTTATACTTCTGAATTTTCCACTTCACTGTTTTACCAGCTAACTTACAGCTGAGATGCAGCCCAGGCCAAGACAAACACAGTGCCACAATGCAGCCACCAGAAAGCAAGTAAAAACCTCTTAGAGCTGAAGGTATTAAACTCTCCATGGATACTATATACCTCTAAGGGACAGTTTAGCACCTGTTATGCTTGGCTCTTTACAAATGAAATTATACACCTTACTGCCAAGTCTTTATGTGACTTTCTGGAGGGGAAGGTGAGTTTATTTGCAAAAATATTTATTTCAGGAACTCACACGCACTCCTACAATCACCAGAACACCTCAGGCTCCCTGTTCAGACACTGATGTGTTTGCAGTAACTCTGTGGACAAGGGATCCTGGCTTTCGGGTTGTCATTGCTTCTAAGGCACATGTGCTGGTTTTGAATAGATCTTTCTGTGCTTTCTAGGAGCTGACACTGTCTCTGCCTCTTGTCCCACCCCTGAGTCACTAAGACTCATTTTCTCTTATCTCCTACCTTGAGTGTGCCAAGAGGCTGTGAGACATCTTGGTGACTGAAACAGGACACCATCAGAACCCTTCTGTTGTGCCTTCTGGTGCTTCCACAGCCAAGCAGTCCTGCTCATTTTCCATTCATCTGAGCCTGAAGGGTTTTAATGCAGTTTTTTTACAGGTGTAGACAAGTTTCTGCCATCAGTTACTATCCAGACTTGGGTTAAGAGCTGTGGATAGTAAAAATGGAAATACACCTAATATTAAGCTCCTCAGCAAAGATATATTCTTCCAAGTATGTAAAGAGCACTCTTTTGTTTGACCCCACAATCCTCACTTTTCTGCTCTTTTGCTTTCTAGGTCCAAGTTTCTGATACCGACTATGTTCACTTAAAGGTGTTTCAGAGTCTTCCTCACGAGAACCAAGGTCCCAGCCTTGTTGCTTTTCAGACTGGCAAAACCAGAGATGATCCCCTGACCTACTTCTGAGAGACGATGACGAGCAGTGCCTCACTTCTGCAAGTCATATGGGGGTTCTGCCTGTGACAGGAAATGCATAAAAATAAAATGTTTTGCAAGCTATAGTCCTTACTGTTCCTTTTGCTGCTGATAGGCAGAAGCCTTTCCTCTCACCAGAAGAAAATAAAGTATTTCTAAATAAGACACAGAATTAAACATAAGGTTATCTGGAATATTAAAAACACGGAAAAAAAACATCTGAGCAAGGTAATGATAAGTATTGAAAACCAGTAAAGAGAACAGTGAGGCATCAGTCAAATATGCCATCTCATGTAAAAAGAAATGTTTATTGTTTTTGATGCAGAAATGCTTGTCCAGCTTAAGTTCCTTTCCTGGACTTTTTCCTTAGGACAGAGAACATAAGCAACCTGCTTTGGTTTTTAAACTCAGACACCCTCTACGGGACGTTATATGCTACTGCGGCAAGAGGATGAACACGATTACCAAGGGAACGTTTGTTTCAAAGGACTGTAATCCTCTTTCTCTTCTTAGAAAAATTGCTTCAGCTCAAATCTCTCTCCAGGTCTCTGCTGATCAAATACCAAGTACGGTTTAAATCTACACATATATTCACAGCTGCAAAACAGCACAGAAAAGATTAAGGTTTTCCCTCTTGCTCCTTGCTTCAAATACATGAGTGCTAGTGTCACTCCACTTCCAATTTCCAGACAGTCCACAAACAGGACTCAGCCACAGTATTCCTGTTAAACTACACTAAAGTCAGGGCAGCTACTTGGGTTTGCATTAGTGCAGGCAAAAGGAGAGCTGTGTGACTCTCAGATTTAGACATTGCACAGAAAGGGAATAGCATTGAAGAAACTGATTTTCCCCACCATTACACTGAAAAAAAACCAACCACTTTTCTCTCCTTTGGTGGCACAGAAATCAACATTTTGCAGCCTACAGAAAATGCACATAATAAACCATTAGGAAAATGCACAAGAGAGGCTTGCTAGAAATAAGCCAATTCGTCGTGCTTCGTCTTGCTGCCCTGGTAACTGTGCAGGCTCAGCGGCTTCCTCTCGTGGGGAAGGCTCTGGAACACCCGCAGGTGCATGAACTCATCGTTGCCAATATGGACCTGCAAAGCACAAAACCCAGTGAGATCTGTGGAGGGAGAGCAGCCTTCAGCAGAGGGATGGTGTAGACTGGTGTGTTTTGAGGATAGAGAAATAGATAGCAAGAAAACCCATCACCTGAGAAGGTGTGGTCAGACTGGGAGCCGTGATTTTGTGCCAACTAATCTTCCCAGAAAAACAGGAGTATTTCTCTATTTAACACATGCAGGGAGAGGGGCTGGGAGGTGGATTTTTTTTAAATGCACAGATTTTTTTCTTAAGGCCAAATCATAAGCATTCTTCTCTAGTCAAGTAAGGAGAAAACCCACCACTCCGAAGATTACACACATTAATAAAAAAAAAAAATCAACCCGGTGCCCTCTACCTTAATGAAGTAGTTTGTTCCAGCAACCACTTGAGTTTTAAACTCCACTGCAGAGAAGATATCAAAGGTTTTCCCTTCTTTTTCTTCCAGCTGAGATTTCACCTTAAGAAACAATAGGTTATTTAAGACTGATGCAAGATTCAAGTATTTAGGACTTCAGTTGCTGCTGCTGAATTCCCAGACACAGAGTTCCTGCTTCTCCAAGTTATTAAAAGATCAAAATGAATCATGTTAAGTTTAAAGCAGGATCAGAAATCTAGAGGTTGCAAACTGAGACCACAGTGTGAGTCAGTTGCCACAGACTGACACCAAGTCTGGACAACTCTGACAGTTCCTCCAACAGTGCCTGCTGTAATCTCTAAGGCTTTCAAAATGCAAATCAGTGCTCAAGAATTCAGAATAACTTGTCCAATACCCTAGAGGGAGGCAGGAACTCCTGTGAGTTGCAGCTCTTCTCCCCCATGCTTGGCTCTCTAGAAAATTGTGGCTATATGGTAAATTCTTGGTCAGGAAATCAGAAGATTTCAGCCTCTGCTTACCAGAGCAAGATAAGTTAGTCCTTGCTGCAAATGCAGTTCTACTCAGGCCATACCTCTTGCACTGCAGTATTATCTAGCCCTTCCTCCACTCCCAGTGCAACAGTACCAACAACGAGTAGATTTTTCAGCTGTATGGTGTACTTCCCCTTCTTATGAAATTCAAGAGGAATACATACATCTGCTCTCCTGCCTGAATCTCACCTGCTTCCTTGGGGAAAAACAAGGGCCAGCTTGCCACTACTCAGGTGCTCCAGCTGAAGTAGGAACAGAAATGACTCCTGCAACAGCACAGGTTCTCCCACCTCTCCAGCACCCAGAAGGTGCAGGACCAAACTCTGATGCCATTCCAGTGAGCATCCTGTCCCTGGGAGCTGTGTCCATACTTTCCATCTCTCAAATGTCATACCTCTAAGCTTCTTCCAGGCTGTGAACGGTATGTCAAAACCAAGATGATGATGTTTGCATGCTTTTCTATGGGGTTTTTTTGCCATATGGAAATAAAAGCTTCATTCTAAGAGGCAATGGAGGGCACCCAGAAAGCACCACGATTCAGTCCTATCTCCTCCCCTTCCTGAGTCAGACGATGAAGCAAATTGTTTCAGTCTGCATCACTACTTTTACAAATTTTAAGCAGCAGGGTGGCCACAAGTATCCCACTGGCCCTATCCTGTCCCGTGCTCCCTTAACAATCCGAGGCACTACAGAAGGTTAGTTTCTGAGGTCTCAAAATGCCCCAGCTCAGCACATTTTGTACTTCCAGCAGGCAGCTGAACACTGGGCTCCATGGCTGCAGACAGCTCAGGGTCACATGTGCTATCAGGGCAGTGACTCACTGCAGCGTGTGACAAATAAGCATCTGGACTGAGCATGGAAAGGGAAATCCCAGACAGAAATACTCTCCTAAAGACCTGATTTCAGCCCACTCTGCCAGTTCACGATCTCAGCCTGGATCTGAGGGTCCTGATGGACACAAGCCAGCACTGTGTCCTGGTCGTAACAAACATTACAGCATATTGGGAGGCAAGTGATTGTTGCCCTTTACCTGGCACTTGTTAGAGAACATTTGAAATACTGTGTCCAGTTTTGGGCCTCCAATACTAGAAAGATGTCAATAAACTGTAGTAAGCTCAGTGGAGAGTCACCACGAGCACACCACGATGGCTGCAGCACTCACACTGCAGAGAAGAAGAAAAAGAGCTTGCTCAGCCTGGGGAAGAGAAGGATTTAAGAAAAGCTTTCCAGTACCAACAAGAAGCCAGTCTCTTTACAGAGGGTTGAGGGAAGAAGAATGAGAGACAGTAGTCATAAATTGAAACTGGATGTTCAGACTGGATATAAGGAAAAGCTTTTTCCCTGAGGACACTCCTGCAGTACACCAAGAGTGTCCAGAGAAGCTGTGGAATTTCCATCCTTGAAGGTTCTCAAGACCTGACTGGACAAAGCCCCAAACAGTCTGGGGCTGCCCACCCTGTGCTCAGGCAGGAGGTACAGTCCCTTCCTACCCAAACAATCAGCGATTCAATCGCAGGGCTGAAAATGATCATGGCCTGAAGGCTGCTCACTGCTCTGCACAGCCTGTTTGCCTAGTCCCACAGCAGTTACTAAAAGAGTAGATGGTTAAAAGTCACCCTGAGTAACCTCTGCCACAGTTACCAGTGAGAAACCAAAGGCTGAGCAGGCCTAGGTGGAAATCCTTGCCATGGAGAGGCAGTTCCTATGAGACTTCTACGCCAGACACCACCAAAGGAAGCTGTCCTGTTCTGTGCCACACTGTACCTGCCCGGGTAGGCAGGCAGCAGCACTGCCCGAGTCACAGAACTGAACTTTTGGCCATCACGAGGATACTTACAAAACAGTACAATGCAGGCAAGAACTGGAAAAGCAGGAACAGGAGATATGTTTATGGCAAATGAACAGGCAGGCTCTAATAAACCCCCACAAAGATTTCATTCTGAGCAAACAAAACGATTTGAGAATTCTACTTCCACTTAACTAATGTTTTGTCTCTCTGTATCCAGCTGACTGCATGGGCAAGTTTCAGTTTGGGATCTTCCCGCCTGCATTTCATTAAAGTAATTTACACTGGCAATTAAAACAAGGTGGGCAAACTGAAGTGTTTATGTGATTTAAATGAAAATGCCAGGTTTGTTTTTTTGTTAATTCTGTTGACTTCTGAATCCAACTGGGTTTTGTTTCATACTCTTTACTTTTGGATTACCAAGCCACAGCACAGAAAGTCAGGATTTCAAACCTAATTTTAAGACCACATGCAATGCTAATTACACATCTGCATTACCTTTAACATGACAGGTAGGCCTTTTCAGGTCAAAGCAGTCATTGAGCCACTCTCAGCAATTCCCAGTAACATTACTGCAAAATCAGGTTGGTGCTTAGGAGACACACATCTCTCTTTGTCCTCAAAACACACAACCATGAGACTGTACAAACCAAAAACTAATTTTGGGGACTACTGAGCCTTTTAGGTGCTCTGGATTTAACCAGAAACCGCTGCAACACGGGGAAACAAAACCAGGCAATGACAAAAGAGCAGAAGAAACAGCAGTTCAACCAAAACCCAAGGAGGTTTTCTGAAAATCACCTGCCCTCGGGCTCAAAACGCTGGGCCTTTCCAGTCGGGTTGGGGAAGTATCCCGACTCTCCCTGCGCTGCATACACATCCTCTGGAGGCAGCACGGAGGAAGCTCTCGAAA